CAAATTCATGATAGTGAACATTATGACAAGGACTGACATTGTAACCCTCTGAACACTAATTCTCCTACAAATCTATGCTACATCCACATTCAAGGACTGTGTACAATTCTGGTTGCTGTGTTTGAAAAAGGATATATTAAACCTAGACAAAATACAACACAAAACAATCAGCATTATTCGAGGGCTTGACCACTTTCCCTAGAAGAAAAAACTAGAATGCCTGAACGTTTTTAGCTTGGGAAGGGGGGGGGGGATCTTCACATAGTACATAACTGACCTGTGAAATTAATTGTAAGACATGGTGATGGCCATTAGTTTGGACAACTTTAAAAGGAGAGTGGATAAATCCATAAAATACTGGTCTTTCAAGGGATATTAGTCTTGAATATGCAAAGTTATGTTGGGGTTGGCCACGTGCTTTCCACATCAATTGCAGGGGAACCAGAAAGGGAGGGAGGCATGACTCCACCTCCTGCTTGCAAGCACCCTAGAGGCATCTGGTTGGCCAGTGTGAGAAACAAAAATGCTACAGTATGGAGAGTGGCAGCCAGTACGCTGGATACTTTGATGTTCACAGAGAGTGTTCTGAGCTAGATATTGATCTGATCCATGTTATCTTCTTCCATGTTAAGCTCCTTGCAGATTTCTTGGTCATTTGCACCTTCTGTACTCAAGAACTTGATGGTGGAAATGATTTTGTATTCCTAGCTATCAAGTTTTACATTCCTTACATTGCTTATGTCAGAGAGATGTTGCCTTAATAGCTGTTACATTAAATCTCAGGTGTGGAATGGGTTTTGCTTGAAAATTCTCTAAAGGTGTCATGTTACTTTAAAACCAGCAGCAGAAAAACAAGGTTTGCCCCCTCTCCTTGCTTTGGGAAGCCTTCTCCAATTCCCAGCTGTAGCTGCAAACATTGATAGGGATAGCCAAAGTCACAGTGCCATCTTTCGGAAGCTTTGTTTCCATAAAATTGAAAACTGGATTTTAAAGAGATTGTAGTTGTTCCCTTTTTTTATGGGACTACAAATGGGCAATGGAATAAATTAAAGATTACCCTTGAAAGCTTTTCAGTGTCATATCATATTCATGTCAAGGTAATCACCTATGGGTACACTGAGTACTGTATATCATGGAACTAAATTGTGACAATTAGTACAGAATAATAACTGTAAAGTACAGAATGTGATGCTCCACATGTGAGAGGCTCAACTTCATCATGAGTGACCAAAACTATTAAACAAACAATATTGACTGTTACTATCCATTTCAGAATCATAGAAACAATTTGGAAATCTGTTTATGCCCAGTTGTAACAATACCTGTTTTGTTACACCAGAAAACCACCTGTTTCTCCAAACCCAGAATTAGTCTTGCTAAGCCTAACAAAGACACAAGTAAGGATAACTGTATATCTATTTGACAAGGTCTGAGACCACACAAGCCATCACACTAGGCGAAAATAGATTTGTGGTTCAGTGTATTGTGGGAGCCCAGTCATTACCTTCATGTCATATAAACCAAGCTGTCACATTAAATCATAAAATTATTTTGTTTTGGCACAGCATTTTATATGAACCTCATAATTATGTTTTCTTAAACCAAGTTTAGGTTTCAGTGAGCTGGGTGCCCCCAGTCTGATTTTGTGACATTATGTTAGTGCCGACTTTTAGTGACCATGTAGATAGATTTTCTCTATGGTGATCTGTCCCTGACCTGGTCCTTCAGGACTTCCAATGGTGCATCCACCACTGTAACTAAGTTTATCCCCTTGCTGCTGGTCATCCCCTTCTTCTCTTTCCTTCCACCATTCCCAGCATTTGAGCCTTCTCCAAAGAGCTAGGTCTTCGCATCATGTATCTGAAGTAAGATAATTTGTGCCTCAAGTGAGAACTCTGGGTTGATTTGTTCAATGATCCATTTGTTTGTTTCTTCACTGCCCATGGTGTTCTTAGAAGTCTTCTCCAACACCAAAGTTCAAAAGCATCAATACTCTATTCTGCTTTTTCGAAGTCCAACTTTTGCTTCCATAGAGTGTCACAGTGAATACCAAGGCTTGCACTATTTTTTATAAGTACAGACACATCATGGCATCTGGCTGCCAAGGTTTTCCTGGCTGCTCTACCAAGTGCCAGTCTGTGGCGTATTCTGGACTGCTTGTTCCTTTATTGTTGATGGTCAATCCTAAAAGGCAGAAGCTATCTATCACTTCACTATCTTCATTATCAATTATCATATATTAATTCAAAAGATTTAAAAGATTAGAGTACAACTGAATCCAGAGCCTTTCCTTTTGGGACTAATGGACAGGCAACTAGAAAAAAGTCATGGAACTTTGTTTTTGTATATGACAAGTGCAGCAAGACTATTATATGCTCAAAAATGGAAAGGTTCGACACTACCCACAACAGAGTAATGGTTGAAGATGATGGAGTTTGCAGAGATGGCTAAATTAACTTCTTTGATTAGAGAAAAAACAGTATCTAGATTTATGGCTGACTGGAAACCCCTTATAGACTTTTTGCATGAAACGGGGAAAAAATGCACTTATGACTTGTGGCTTTGATGATTAGAAAAAAATTGGATAATAGAAAAAAGTGAGGCTTTTTTTAATAATCATAGAGTAAGAGATTATTAATTGAACTTATATTTGCTGCAAACAGAATCATAAGCCGCTTCTATTTCTTTTTATTCTTTTTGCACTTTTTCTTTTTTCTTTCTTCTTTGTTCTTTTTATGCTGTTAGTTTGTATCAGTTTTTATGTTATTAACGTTTATTTTAGAAATCTTCGTTATCAATTTTAAGGGTGGTTGTTTTGCCTATTATCATTACTTTGGTCTTCTTTATATTCAATGTTAGTCCCATTTTTTTTCACAGGGCTCCTTGACTTTCACTACTGGAGCTTGCAGATCCTCTGCATTTTTGGCTATCAGAGAAGTGTCATCAGCATAGCTTAGGTTACTGGTGTTTCCTCCTCCAATTTTAAAGCCATGCTCATCTTCCTCCAATCCAGCCTCCTTCAATATATCTTTGGTACATAGGTTGAATAAATAAAGAAGAATATTTATCTTTTCCCAATCCAGCTTCCCTTAATATACTGTATATTCAGTGTAAAGGTTGAATAAATAAGGCCAGCATGCCCCAGTCTAGAACTGACCAAACATTACAGAAATATTAACATTCTCTATTTTTAGTATGTATGTATGTATGTATGTATGTATGTATGTATATATTTTAATATTTATCAATTTGTATATTGTATAACAATTACCAAAGTAAATTAAGTAGCACAGACAGATATTATGATAGTTGAAAAATTAACCCACCAAATGAGATATGACATTGGGAAAATAAACTTCAGCAGGTTTAATACTATCCAGTTCATCTTTATTAATGACGCCACTTTTGATGCTCAGGCTTAGAAAGACCCATCCCTGTGAATGGCCCATTGCAAGCCTGGCTAACCTTATTTGGACTTGGAAGCTAAGTCAGGTTGGGCAGGGAATACCAGATCTGTAGGCTATATATCAAAAAAACATCCTAGACAAAGATAACAGCAAACCATTTCAGTAATCTTATCAGCACAGAACTGTACAGACATGTTCATGAAGTTGCCAGGAGTTCAAACTTAGTTTGAAGGTGACTTCACTTTACCTTATTTGTAGCCTGCACTCACAGTTGAAACTCATTATCATTCATGTTGTATTTGTGTTTTAAATATCCAAAATGTTATAAGTGAAACTTTAATAAAAAATATAACATTGGAAAACCTGAAATATCCCAGAATTTGTTTAAATGACAAGATTAATGTGACTTTTATTTTTCTTGGCACTTGTCCCTCTAATCAACTTTTTTAATTTAAAAAAGCACAATACAAAAATCAAATTATATGCATTCATGATTGATTTAATTTGATTAATTAAATAAAATATGCAGATTAAAACCAATTACATAAATGATATAACTTCAAGTGTATCATTACAAAGCCTGGAGATTTCATTCCAGGCTCTCATTCTTGCAGAATAATTGGAACTAAAATGTTATCTGATCTACCTTTTTTTGTTTATCAGTTTTTAAGAGGCTTTCATAGGACTGCCATTCCACAAACAGCCATCCTTGAGAAGGTACCATCCTGCTGCATGAACCGACAATAAACTAAAAGTCATCCTATTTGAAATACTTTGGAGGGACTAATACAAGGAGGGAGGGGAGGTTTAATCTTGGCAGTAAATATAGGACAGTCTTTAAAGCATGAGCAAGATCTTTTTCCCTCCATTCTTTTCCACAATCTCTTGCAAGTCTACAAGCTGTGATCCAGATTTCACAGGCTTATTGTGCCTTGTAGATCATGGGTCTCCACAACTGCTTTCAAACAGCTATCAGTTGGGGCCCTACACATAAAACTAGAAACCAACACGGACTACCCATCTGCTTCTCACTATTACCTTTTCTCATTTCTGGTGAAGTTCAAACAATATTTCACAGCCCGCTGTTGATAGGTATTAATTATGTTTTTCACTCAGGCTTTAATCAGAATTTGACATGGTGGATAAAGGACATCTGGGTTTTCTGTCAGGTAATACCAATTCAGGTAGCAACACCTCTGAACTGTTTAAGGAACAGCAGTGCATGTAACTAGTTTATTTAATATAGCATGTGAAAAATACTGTCATACCCACATACACTTATGTGACCCCTAGTTTTTTTGCGTTCAAGAGAACCAACCTGGGTAAACCCACAGAGGGTCGGGCAATCCTTTAAAAGTCCAAGCTCTGACCCAGAAAATCTCATGTTTCTGTGCATGAACAACGGGATAGTAAGTGATGGCCGGGACAGAAAGATTCCTGAAACCGCGGACTAAAATGCTTTGAACACACTCAAGCCGTACATCAAAGCACTTCCCCCCCCCGTCTTTCTCTGAACTACTGGCCAAGACCCATTTTTATCACCGCGTTCAAAAATAAAGGGAAGTTTCCCCATTGCATGTCTAGGTTTTCTACCTGGCTCGTTTTCTCTGCTGGAGCCGCGTGAAGCCCCGACTCGGAGCCGAGTTTCCCCCGCGGGACTGGCAACCGGCCTCCGCCGCCCCGCCCCGGCTCCTCGAGGGGGAAGCTCCCCCGCCACCCGCGGGGCTCCCCTCCAGCAACCGGGCTGCCGGCGCCGGGCAGGTCCAGGCCCGCGAGGACTCGGCCACCTGAG